TCTATGGGCAGCGGTCAATTCGCAATTTTGGCGGATTCAGGTGGCCGCTTGCTCGTTTGCCACCTTATGTTATAAAAAAAGTACATTTTAAATATTGCCAAGCCTATGTAATATAGGCGCCGTTGTTTAGAGTTTTTTACGAGAACACCGCATTGTGATTTACTTGATTCTTTTTTTCGTTTATACATATGTCAATTGTTTATTTCAACTGCTTCTCGGCCACTAAGAGCAGGCGCACACCTTTGACTAAACTGGACAACTGATATACGATAGTCGATTGTTTCGCAGCCAATTCAACTGTTTATGCAACTAAAAATGTGTGCACCTCCATATAAGTTGATAAGAATCAAAGCGCGACTAAATAGTTGTGCGATTGTTTAGTCAATGGTGTGCGCGCTCTAAGAGTCTCCTTAGCGTGCATTTAGCAGTATATAATTAACGAGTAAACTCATAAACTACTGGTATCCAAAAAAAAGGTAAAAAGAAACGCGGAAGACAACACAAACGATGGGAAGATGACACAAAAAGGCTGCAGGAGAGACCTGGTCAAGAAAGGCAAAAAGAAGGGGAGAATGCAAGAATTTGGAAGAGGCCTATGTCCTTGGACACACAGATAATAAATAACTAATGAAATAAAACAAAAAAAGGATAATAAAATTAATTAACAAATGTGATTTATTCAACTCAATTTATGTAATGTGACAGTAATTTAATCATCTGAATAAAGGCTTATTATTATTATAATCTTATATCTTTATTTTATTATTTTTATATATAATATATTTCACATGATTAAAAAAAAAATAACAAAATAAAACTTATTATATAAAAAATAGAAGTCCACCGGCTGCGGAATCCGATGACTCAAGCAACCAGTGGTCAGGGCTGCAGAGACAGAAACCTCCTCACTATTCGTGCAGTTTCTAAAATAACCGCCTTTTGAATCGGGCCCTTAATCCAACTGTCTAGCGAGAGCTTCTTGAGGTGTTGGTCGAAGCTCTTCGCTATCAGCCCGTGTGCCGAAACGACTATCGGAATAATAATAATTATTATTATTAATTAACGAGTTTAAGTGCGTTAAATGTATGTCATGAATATAGGGGAAAATATACCGAAACCAGAGTATTTCTTAATTAGAACATACAATTGCAAATATATGCTAATATCAGTGCACGGAACTGGCCAACTGAAGCGTTGCGGTATCTCCATAACAATGAAATCATGTTATTACAGCGGAATTTGTCACCTAACTTTATGTGAAATTTGAATTGATGGTAAACGATATGATTTGAGAATAATGTACTATTATGAAGTACAAAATCGCTTACATTTTACACTAAAGTCAACGATGTGATTAAATAATGCAGGAAATACACAAGCAAGTCGCTGGAACACTTGTATGCAACTGCAAATACACTTATATTGCTAATCTAGTTAATAATATCTCTGGTTTTTTTATAATATAAGATGGCAAACGAGCAAGCGGCCACCTTAATCCACCGAAATGGAAAGCGACCGCTGGCTATAAACATCCGCAACTGCAGATGCGTAGTCTACCCTTAATTGACAGAGGAGGAGACGCACATTAAGAGGACATTTCCCCTTCCTATGCGTCTCCTCCACCGTCGAATCCACTTTTCCTTCCCATCCTTACCTCTTAAGAAAAGGGTCGAAAGGGAAAGGGACTAAAAATTAGGCCTCCGGCACCACACTAATCAGACGAAACGCGCAATTGCTTCCACTTCACGTCTGTTTTCTGTGTGGTAGTGGTATTACACCGGGCGAGTCGGCTCGATGCGAAGATGTTAAAGCGGGCTTTACCACTATTAACACAATTTAGTCAATTAAGTGATATGAAAATTATCAACTTGTAATATAACTGTTATGTAATATTAATGTATCCCACGGGAACTGTAACTATTTTCGGGATAAAATAGCCTATGTGTTCTTCCAGACTATGCTCTACATTTATCCCGAACTTCATGGAGATCTGTTCAGCCGTTTAGGCTACAAACTCTGACAAACCATATATCCATCTAAACTTTCGCATTTATAATATTAATAAGATTTATGAAGCAATTTCACGGTTCATGAAATTAGTTAAGTGTGCCAAACATTCTGTCAATGGACGTGTTTGTGAAGTTTAAATTGGCATATTAATATTGACTAATAGGGACGATTTAAAAATATTTTGGCAAATGTCTTTAAAACTTAATATATTTGCAAGATTATTTTTCGAAATGCTGAGATTTTTCTAAGTACATACAATTTAAATATCTTGATTGTAAATTAAGACTTTAAAATAGAGTCTATGAGTCAAATCAAGAGTCAAGTCAAATCCAGATTGAAAATGGCATATAATGGAAACGTACTTAAAGTGGAAGTGCATTTAGAAAGCAAGTTAAAGGCGAGTGGTGCGAATTGCCCCCGAGAGTATCTTATCTGCGCCGAGCTATTTGAAAAAGCCATAAAGCTATTGCCACGATGACTTCAGTGCGGAATTGTGAGAGCTACTGCGAAGAGATATTTGATATATTTAAATAGAACAATATGGCGTCTAATAGAAGAGTACTCTAGATTTTATGGTTGCTATCATACTAATATTAAAAATGCGAAAGATTAGATGGATGTTTGTTAAGAGTTTGCAGCCTAAACTGCTGTACGGATTTCGAATAAATTTGGTACAGATGTAGAGAATAGTCTAAAAGAGCACAAAGTTCTCTCTTTTTTTTGTTCAATTCCACGCGAAAGGACTCATGGACGAAAGCTAGAAGGTGAAAAAATAGTTTTCATTTTTTATCAAACTACTGTTCACTTTGACTTAATTTCAATTTTTGTTGATTACTTTATATTTTATAAAAAAAAAACTTTTGAAAGATTGTCATCTTTATGAAAATATAAAATCTTCTGTCGGAAACACAAAGACGATCAGTTTTCCTGTCTCCCCTTGTCTCCAGCAGGGACTAATCGATGTAATATTGAAAGAAGGTTCTACCGTTTTATGTCACAAAAACTGAGCCTCAAAATAGGACTGAAATTGAATGTAATCAAATAAAAATTCTAATAATTTTGTATCATGAAATATTAAACTTTTTTGCAAGTTTATTTCTGTTCTATTTATTTTAATGGTCTATAATGTACTGCTTAATAAAATCGCTCAAATCATGTAGAGAGAAAATGTTTAATATTATTGAGAATAAAAAGGCTCTGTGATTAAAATTCAGTAGTGGAAACCATTGCTACAAGTAACACGTTATCAAGAAAATAAAACATCCACGCTACTTATACTTAGTTTCCACATATTTAAAGTTTTCCCAACACATACTTTCATGAAATATCTTCAAAAACGCTTGCTGAACACGGTAGGCAATATTTCAATTCAGTAAAAGAATATTCCGCTTATCAAAATCTTTTGACAATTTCTATGTAACGTAGCACAGTTTTATGTTCTTTATAACTGCCTTTTTATGATAATCCCAGCAAACGTGGAGAACTATATTTCATTCATGACTGGAATCGAGATTTAGTAGAACAGCAAATCGGAATTTTTATCTTTATATTTTATCATTTTTAAATAACAACCTAGCTCCAATTATAACGTGAAAATTATTATTCTTAACTAACAATGTCTTTACCTTTACCATTATTTTATAAGAATAAGTTATGTAAAAAGTAGATTAAAATAATAAAAAAATGCATATAGCCGTTAAGCCTATAAGTATTATTGCTACGCCGTAGCAACTTCGTAGCAAAGATAAAACGTAACATTCTGTTTACTTATTTTAACTATTTGTACCTTGTATCAGGAGGAAATCTTCAAAAAGATACCCTTCCGTCTGGAGGCAAGACGCATGTGAGGTTTGTACCCACTAAAACCCCTTCGGTGGCGAGCCTCTAGTGCATAGATGTGGGTTCCGAGATCTCCGCGAAACTCAACAGAACCTTCGGCACTTTACGACACAATACAGGACATTGCGTGATGTTTCGCAGCGTTATGGCAACGATTTGTACCGACTAGTGAAAACATTTCTTAATTATGTTATTTAGCTTTCGTCTCAGTATGGATGAAACCAAAAAAAGTTTAGGAATTTTTACGTGTTCTACCAGAATATCCTCTACATCTATGCCAAATTCCATCGAGATACGTTCAGCAGTTTAAGCTACAAACTCTAGCAAACATCCATCTATCTATCTAAATGTACGCATTTATAATATTACTTACCTATGTAACTTTAACAAAGATTATGGTTAATTATAATATCTTATGTACAATACAATATGCTACGGCATGTAGTGACTACGAGATCGCACAAAACGACCGTAGCAATTTAATTGGGGCATATCGAGTCCGCTATATAATTAATGGTCGTAGATAGCAACGAATAGAGTTAGTATTTTGAAATACGACGACCCTCGTATAAGGAAATACACATGCGATAAATTTATTTATGTCTTCCAAAACAGTATCTGTTACTTAAGATTTGAAATTGCATAGATACATTTAAAAGAATGAAACACAATGTTAAAAAATTAATTTTCCTTTCACGATACATTTGTCAATAATTTACAAAGATATCATTCAAAACGCAACCTACTAAATTATTAATTCTCAAACCATTTATGTAAGAAGTGTGAAAATAATAAAAAATCAAAACTGCGTAAAACGAACAAAAGAAAGGTGGAAATCTCATAAAGCAAGGACAATGAAGCTTAACATATTTTCACACAAAGTATCTCTCCCCGTCTCACACATACGTCGAAGCATGTAAAAATGAGCGCAAACACAAATATCATTCTCGTAAATGACTCCTACAACTTCAGTATATTACTTCGGTCGACGAAATTCGTGGAGCAAGGCAAAAAAACTCAGACAACAGCAATGACATTTATCTAATTACGGGATCGCGATAAGGGCGCACGAGGGGCGGGGGTGCGGGAGGGGAGGGGAAGGATTGCCTTCGGATGCCGTCCCGCAGTACGTTCGCGGCTACAGTGGGGAATGAAAGCTTACCCGGTTGCTCCACCGTTCCAACCTTGTACGGACAACGAAATATTCTCTAAGAACTTTCGTGTTTTTCACAGTTTTAAAAGTTTTTTTTTGAATTAAACTAATGGTGTGGAAGTGTTGATAATTGTGAGGAATTAATTTCTATTATAATGGATGAAATTTTCGTATAAATAATGTGAACCGATTGGATGATTTTGTATTAGCAATGCTGTAGATGTATACTTCTTCAACATGAACGTTCTTCTAGTTTTTGGCCTTTTTATAGGTGAGATATATATTGATTTATTTAAATCTAAAAATTAAAGTATACTTTTTTAATATTTTTTTAATGAAATTCAAAGTTTTTTGAATAAAATTTTCAACCTTTCAAGTACACTCGTCGACACGGTAAGCTTGAAACGTTGGAATTTAATATTAAATTAATATTATCGTGGTGAAAATAATTTTTATTTTAATGAAATATTCAGGGCGTTTTAATAAGTTACAAGTATCATTAGTAGTGATGTTACGTACATTTATTTGAGGTTTAAAATATTTTTACTCTAAGCTAGTTATTCTTATTTAAATATTACCTTATTTATGCAAAGATAAAATAATTAATGATGAAATATTTTCTAAACAATGTCTTTTTTTTTTACATTAATGTAATTATTTGTAATGTAGAGCGTTGATGGCCCAGTCATTGAATGGTTGACCATACTGGGTCGAATTCTACAGATCTAGGTTCGATCCCTGTCATGTAACATTCTTTTTTCGAATTCAATATGTACAATTTTCTAACGTTACAACTCTTTAGGTGTATCCTAATAGGCCGATCGGCCCACCGAACAATCAAACCAATGAGATTTGTCTTATATGGCCGATGCAATGTATAAATTAATCGACCTATCTCCAGACTGTATATTCTTGTTTGACAATACATCAGTCTTCTGATACAAAAACAGCATGTTGTATTTTAAATGAAGTTTACAATACGATATTTAAAAATGTTACTAATTCAATCAAACTAACAATAGATTGGGGTATATCTAGGATAGCTTATGATGTACATTTGTAATGTTAATTTAAGATAGCCGAGGAAGTAAAAGGCTTTTACCTTGCTTAACTTTTATATGTAGGCGTATAAATATTTCTATTTCATGTCCATTATTTGTGACTTTAGGATTTGTATGGATTACTTCGAACTGAAGTACAGTCACAGAAATCTTTAGTGTTCCATTTACAGAACAATTGCCATGTTGCAAGGAAGACGGCAAACTCAGCCGTAGTATTTAGTTGCGCAAAAGAGGGAATAATAATTAAAACTAGTCGTGCGCTAATGACGCATTTAAAAGCTGTGTTCTGTTGGTTATTGTACCTCGTCATCTCAAGTCTCAATGCGTATAAAACGTTCAATCGATTTTTGCTTTTAGGAGCACTGCCACTTTCCCCGATTGTACGACATAATTTAAATATACTATAAGAGTTTTATCATATTGCATTATTGGATTCCATTACCGAAACATTCATACTAAATTTTATTATCTCATTTTTTTAATAAAATAAAGACAATCTTTACAAATCTTCAATAATAAGAAACAGTCTTTTTGTTACTAGTTTAAATATAAGACAGTTACACCCACATTGTAATAAACTGTAATGAACGTTTATTAATTTCTGTCCTGTCTACAGGAAAGTGCTTTGATTAAATCTTCCTATTTCATCATCGTGCAAATTGATACGGAGATTGTAAGAAGTGATATAACAACAAAGTACAGTATATTGGTTTATAGTACTGGGTGATATACCAGCAAGTTCCAACTGGAATTCGCCAAATAGCAAAGCGACCGCTGCCTATAAACATTCGTATTTGCTGATATGTCTATCTCTAATCCAGAGGGGACGCACAGAAAGAGTACTATCCTTCTCTTCTGCCTGAGGGGAATGCTTTACAGATACTCCGGACCCAGGGGAACGGAGTAGAATGGGGGCATACCCCCTAAACCCCTTGGTTCCTCCAACGTCTTAGGCCGGGGCTAAGGGCACGCTTTTGCTTACGTCCGCGACCCCGGTCTGCAAAGAATACTATCCTCCTTCTGCTGTCCTCTCCCCCAGGGTCTGTTAGTCAGATGACATTTACAGTTGGTTTCCACTAGCGTAATCTTTTTGAAAAAAAAAAGGATGGCTCGATGTTATTGTACAGTTGTAGTTGCAGATGAAAGAAATTTATAATTAGAAATAAAATATCATTTTTTTAATTAACTTTCAACTTAATTACTTGAATAGTCCATGATTTTAATAACGTAATTTTAAATATGAATTTATTGTTAAACTTTTACACACGGGATATGCAATTGCAGTGTTTTTTTGCAAGAAGCGTGGCTGCCAGAATAGGCTTCAGTTTAGCACTTGCTAGATCTTGCTGGCTTCGTCGGGGCTTATTACAAACTATAAAGTTAAATAATGGGCTATTACTGTCCTATTGTAGCACAAAGGCGTCTGTTTGCGGCGCAAATTATATTATAAACCAGCATCTGTAAGGTATAAATGAGGGTAAGGCATGATAAGGTCCAACTTTTGTGTTTAAATGTTTTGTTTAAGTGGATTTTTTCCATTAGTGGAAATTTTATTTATTTGTGATAAGAATGACGTTTTACTTTGTTATTATGATGCATTTAAATGCAATGTAATGTCGAATGAAAATCCAATTACATAAAAATAATAGCTAAGATTTGTATTTTTGTATTTTTTTATGTATTGAAGTAACTCAAAAACTACTGGGCCGATGTTAAAAATTCTTTCACCGTTAGAAAGGTAATTTATCTGTGAGTAACATAGGCTATATTTTTTAATTTCACGCGAGCGAAGTCGTGTGCAGCAGCTATGTTAAATAAAAACAAAACACAAACATTTTTCGATGTAAATCAAATTAATTGTGTATAATAATTTCCTTGAAAATTCCTTAAAAATACTTTTTCGTTTAATTTCCGTCAAATAGAGATTTAAATGTAATTGAAAATACTTAAATTATAATTATTATATCAAAGTTTAGACTTCTAGCAAGCCTAGTAATCTTAGCAACTCTAACTAAAAATCTTGAAGAATCTAATTACTAAAACTAACCATTTGGTATGCAAACAAAGACACCAACCGAAAACAACTGTATTAAGAAACTTTTTAACTGGATGTACAGTTAAAACTTTGCGCTGTTGTTAGTTTTCGGAAAAAGGAAATTGGTTGAAATATATTCTCTGCTCAGTGCGGAATATCTTTGAAGTTGTACAATTTCTACGAAATGTTTAAGTCCTTTTAAATTATTTGGATAATTATTCTACTCAGCTGTATCTCGCGTAGTTATAAACCACAAATACTATACTAGGTTTTCATTAAATTGGTGAAAAAGATTTGTGATTCTTATAAAATGGGAGAATTAGTTTCAACTACTATAACATTTATTTAATATTTTACGACGTTAATATTTTACGACCTTTTACCCTTGAATTTGTTAACACGGAATTTAATAATTTCGTATTTCGGGCTTGTCCAACCAAATTGTAAAATGTATAGCAATCCAACGTGTAAAACATGTGATATCGGATTTTGTTCCCTTATGTGGTAGTGACGTCATTTTTAAGCTATCTGAGTATCAGCCAGTAGTAGGACAGGCCTTTAAAAGCCTTGTATGTTCTTTAATCTAAACCTATTGTAATCAGAACTATTTGAAATATATATTTTTTTATTTATTAATTTAATCCAATAAGAAATTCTGTATTCCTTTCACAAAACGTAATGGAAAATCTAATTATTATTTTTTTATCTAACATTAAAATGGCAGAATATTTTAATTAAAAATTTTTCTTTTACACTTTAATGAAACTTTTTACTTTGCTAAAAATTTTGTCAAATTTAAGCTGAATCTTGTAAAGATCGTTGACATGGTGCTGCAGTAAGCTTTTGAAACGAGTTTTCTTAGCAACGGCTTTTGTTCAAACATTCCACGTTTTAATTAAAACCATCTCGTAATATTTTTTTTTATTTTAATCCTTTATGTTGTCCATAAATCGGTTTTATGAATATTATTAAGTTTTTTATATAGTGCGAATGTTTTAATTAAAAAACTCATTTGGTGGAAAATAGGTTGCTTTACGAGTTAATATTTGTTGTTTGGTTTTGCTATAATTACCTTTGATAATTTATATTTAAACATTGATTTTAGTTTAATGTCTAAATTGTGTGTCTGTTTTTACAAGTCTTTTTTTAACAAGCAATTAAATCATAAGTATAATAGTAAACAACATTGTAATAATGAAGTTTTGAACATAATTAAAGTCAATTTAAATTTAATTGTATTAGAAAACGTACTCATATAAAGCGTGCGTACACTTGAAACTAAACTATCACAGAACTGTTTAGTCTCTCTTTGATTCCTTTGAGGTTATATGGAGGTGCGCATACTAGATTTTTCCTGCAACTAAACAGTTGAATGGGCTACGAAACAATCGCACAACAGTTGTTCAATAGTTTAGTCAAAGGTGTGCGTACGCTCTTAGATGTTATATGTCGAACAACATTTTCCTTTTTTTTAAATTGCAAAAACCAGCGCTTGACCACTATCCCACCTAGATCAAGGTGAAGATGTGGTTACCTTGTCATCATCGACGTTGTTTCATAGTCTATGCCTATAATATAGACTTATTTCTCTTCCCTTCCCATCATTTTTAGTGTGGAAAGGAAGGGAAAGTAATGTTGATTGGTAAAGAGATCGCATTTATAATCGCGGATGTCTATGAACATTTAATATGTATTTGGCGTATTTGGGAACCCTTGTTCGTTTTTCAAATTAATATCTATTGTAAATATATACACATAATATAGCTGATCTTTGATATAAGATTCTATTCGCATAATCAGGCAATTATTCTAGATCATTCTATTTCATCCAGACTCGGACCAAACACTAACTTGGCACGTAACCAATATCTGACAACGTGATATAAAATTTGCTGATTCTATTAACTTAATTAAATTTAATTCCGTTGCCAAAATATAAATTAACTAAATAATGAAGTGAATAGTTTATTATTCAATTATACAAATTAAAAACGATTTTATTTATATTTGCAAGTTATTTAGAAACATATGTCCGGAGTCCATGGTATATTAGGAAGGAAATCGTCTTCGTCACCAATCTGCTTTATAAAAATCTTATCAAATTTTCATAGCTGATTTAAATGGGTTTTCTCTTGCGTGTGTAAGTTTTTATGTTTGTCTATTTGTATGTGAGTTCATTTGCACCTACTACAACTTACTTTATTTAACCGATTTGGTGTGTGCAGTTAGGTACATTCGCTACGATTATAGACCGACAAAATAAACTGACCCGGTGCATAGTATCAAACTAAATTGTCATAGCTCAATAGCACCTTCCTTTTAATGTTTAAAAAGCGTCAAAGGTCCATTTTAATTTATACCATTTTATATACCTGAGTAGGTTATCTATTTCGGACAGAAATAGATGGCTAAGCCTCTCATTGGGCCAAATAACCTTATTTGACGTCATTTTGTTAATCAATTTATTCATATAATTTACAAATTACTTAGACGAATTACAAAAGGACGGTGTTCATGATTTGCCGGTGACATGTTTTGTTCCAGTGATAGCGACGGCACATAACATAACGTTTCTGGAAGTGCCACAGTACGGCGACCCGCGCTGGAGCGCCGACCTCGTATGCCACTATGTCAACGAGGTGGGGGACCCGCCGCTACATTCCGTCAAATGGTATCGAGATAACAATGAAATATTTCGATTCACACCTGAGCAACAAGTGAGTATTTCGTACTTTATTGTATAGGCCTACAGTGATTTTATGCCGTTTTTTTACATAAACAGGGGGGTGCCTGCTAGGTTTTAGACTTATCAGCAAGTCAAAAAAATTACGTTTCTATATTCTAAATAAAACCAAACGATATGCAACTTTTGTCTAAATCGAATTTAAAAATTATCAAAATGTCAACATTCTTCCTTGCATGGTTCCCTCTTGGTTCAAAATGTGATGCGTTTAAAATGATTGTTATTTCACAAAATTTCCAACTGCCTTGTCCTTGTTGGTCTATACATATAACTAGGATCTCTATTTCTTCAGAGTTTGCCAGGAATAATATGTGTCAATAAAAGTCTTTCTGTAGTAAAAACCCGAGGTAAAACTTACACCGCTCTTACATTGTTGTTATTGGAGGTTAAAACCATGTATCAATGTGTATGGAGAGATTGAACCCGGAACTTATGATTATAAATCCACGGATAAAACCTCTGTTTTAATCCACTTGTTAATAGTATAGATAAATCAGGCAAAAAACTTCAAATTGGTGCAATCGATTCATTACATTATCTCCTACCAGTTCTATTTTTACCTCAATGTTGTTTTATATTTTCTGGACATGGTATAAACGTCTATTTCATATTAAAATAACACTGATTTTATTCTTCAGCCATACACGAGAACATTCAACACAACAGCAGGCGGCGTGGCGCGAGATTCCTGCAATATGCATAGCTGTATGATAAGTGTTGTACTGCCCAAGAGATATAACACGAGGATATCCTTCACGTGTGAAGTGTCCACTGAGGGTCCTAGATTCGCTGTTGTCAATCAAACTAAATATCTTACTGTGGCAGGTATGCACTTAATTCCTAGTTTTAAATGCTATAGATTTTATGTAGTCAAACTAATCTTACTAATGTTATAAATGCGAAAGTTTGGATGGATATAGTTTGAACGGATCTCAATGAAATTTGTCGTATGCTGTTGCTCACGACATCGTCCTCGTGAAATTATATAGTAAAAAATGTCTGGCCTATGTTACTCGGTGATGACGTAGCTTTGAAGTAGTTTTCGAGTTATTCCAATACATACTAAAATCCAATAATACAAATCTTATCTTTTTATAATATTAAATATAGATGTAGGATAGTCTAGAAGAACACAGGCTATTTACTTTTGTTTTTTAATTCCACGAGTACGGAGTCGCGGGAGAATTCTAGTCCATAAACATTTAAACAGATGCAGATTAATTCATAAAATATCAAAGAACCACTAATATAGAAAGTTTGCATGTTTTTTATCAGAAAACAAATGTAGAAATGAAATTCCTGTGTATAGTTTTACTATTACTCATATTTTACGTATGGGTGACAATTACGGAATGTTCGAGAACACTATATATTTTCTTCTTACAAGTTGTTTTGTGTTACCAGTGACATTAAAAGAGGACCCTGTAATATCGGGAGTGGAGGGTAGCGTGCAGTTCGGAGAAGACGTACTTCTGAACTGTTCCACCTCGCCCGCCATGCCGCCCGCCAACATCGTTTGGTATGTGGACGGGAAGCCTGAGAAGGTTAGTAAAACATACAGCTTTATTAACTGCATCTATTTTAGTAAAGGTTCTTATTTTTAAATGGTTTTTGTTGATTTTTGATTTTAATTACAGTTAATTATAAAAAAAAAGATTTCTCTTGAAAATGCACGACATGTACAAAGAGAGATTACAAGGGTTGTTAAAGTGCAGTACTGTTGCTACTTAACAAATCATGGTTGCTTTCACTAAGAGCGCACACCTTTGACTAATCGCACAACTGTTCAGTCTCGCTTTGATTCCTATGAGCTTATATGGAGGTACTCTACTCGATTTTTAGTTGTGCAAATAAACAGTTGAATTAGCTGCGAAACAATTGACAATCTCATAAAACTTGGCCGATAGCTTGGTCAAAGGTTTACACCCGTTCTAATAGGTTTATTCACGTTGTTTGATAGACATTTTGCCATATTGATTACACTGATTAAAGTTATGTTACAGACGGAACCATGGATGGTGGATAACACAGAAGTGTCATCCGCCGATGAATACGGGTTGCGATCGAGTTGGCGACCCATGCGACTTAGAGTGAACACTCCTAAGGGAGATGTCTCGCTGCGTTGCGAGGCAACTCAGCCTGTACGACCTCCGTATATCAGATCCAGTAATACAACGCTCGTGGTCGCCAGATCGCCGCATCTATCCATGTTTACTGCTGCAGGTGAGTTTATTGTCTTCTACCGCATACTTAAGATGACACTTAAAGAGCGCCTTAGCTGAAATTTCTCCTTCTAAATCTTTAAAGGTTCCTCTTAGCGTCAACTTAAGGGCAATAGTCTACTTAATATTATAAATGTGAAAGTTTGGATGGATGGATGTTTGTTACAGTTTGTAGTCTAAACGGCTGAACTAGTATAGATGTAGAGGATAGTTTGGAAGAACACATAGGCTACTCACTTTTGTTTTTTTTTAATTCCACGTGGACGGAGTCGCTGGCGAAAGCTACATTTTCTATAAAACTTAATTTGTCTCAGTTTTGCTAGTTACTTTATTAAATACTTCATACTAACTAGGAACTAAAATCCTTGCCATTTTGTGTAAAAAAAAGACATGAAATAAATTTCTATAAACACATTGATACATTGAGTATATTAGAGGAAGTTTGAGAGCAGCACCAGTGGTAGAGAACATGCCATGTATTGGCATGTTATGAGAAGGGATGAATCGCATGTAACAAGACGGACGTTAGTTATGAATGTGGAGGGGTACACCGCTAGAGGTAGACATGGAAAGAGATGGATGGATTGCGTAAAAGGTGACATGATCAAGGGAGTGATGACTGAGATGACGGATGATAAAGTGCTTTGGAGGATGAAAACCCGGTGCGCCGACCCTACGGGAGTAGGATAAGGCAGGGGAGATGATGATATTGATACATTAGGGTACAGAAGGCGTTATGAGGAATGGTCTATATTCTCAGTCTATAAGTCTCATATTTACTAGCACTATGATATACCTAATCTCAGTTGTATCTTACAGGTTCAAGTTCATCGAAAGCAGACGCGATATTTCTTATGATAGCATCCAGTATTACATTACATATATTTTCCAAATGCAGTGCCTTGTACAGAGTCTAGTAGACTCAATCGGAAATATACGAGAGATAACACAACCGTGGAACTCTACTGCTCTCACACTTGTACAATAATTTTATCCCTTACTTTGTCTTTGAGATGATAGAGACAAGCTACCCTTTTTAGACTAAAGGGTGCTGCCTATAGATATCCGTAATTGTAGATGCGTTGCTTACCTTAAATCGAGGGATATTTTCTATGCGTCCCTGCCCCCTTTAAATTACTTCCCCTGTCCTTAACGTATTAGAAAAAGGGCAGGAAAGGTAAAGGGATTAATACTAAGGCTATTCATCAGACGAGACGCGGAATTTCTTTCACTTACACCTTCTGTGGTCGTGATTACAACGAGTAGGTCCGTTCGTGCAACAGATTGTTGTTTGATACAAGTGTAACTGCAGTGGAACTCTACGGTTATTGATTTAGAATAGGTAGTAAATCTTTCTAACCATTGCATTTTGCACACCGCCAGCATAAATATTAGTTTATAAATATAATTCTAAAGATAATATAAGACTTGTTAGGAACAGACTTTGTTATTTTATAATTTTGTTTTTAGTTGATAATTTTTATATAAAGCCGTTATTGTTATAATTGACGTTTTGTATAATGTTACGTGTTCTAATGTTTATAAATAGATTAATTTGTAAAGATTAATTTACGTTGGTAAAACATTTATTGTACGAATGGCAAAACATAAGATATTCCGATAATATTATCACTGAAAAAAATGTTGTTTATTTTTATTTTCGCTTTTGTATGATTCAACAACTAAATGAATGGAATTTGATACTCTGACAACAAATATTGGTGTGTAAAATGTAATTAAAAGTTTTGTTTAATTTTTTAAATATTTATAAAAATCTCAATATTTGTACAATTTACATTTTTAAGGCTTTATATAAACATTTTAATTTAATAATCATGTTCAAATATTTAATGTATTATTGTAATACTTGTACAATACTGTAAAGTTATTCAGTAAACAGTTTTGTTGATAAAAATCAGTTTGCTTTGTACTTATTTGCAACAATTTTTAGATCATAAACAAGATAAGAAAAGTATTTAATTATTAAAAACGCGCGCACATCTTTGACTAAACTATGGCACAACTGTTTAGTCGCACTTTGATTCCTATGACCTTATATGGAGGCATTACTCGACTTTTAGTTGTGCAACTAAACAGTTGAAACTAAGAAACAATTGCCAATCGGACAACAGTTATGCGGTAATTAAACAAAGGAGTGCACACACTGTAACAATCACAGCATTTGATATCCGCAGTAAATTAATATAATAATTAATAAACAATCTATCAAACCAGTTAATAATTGCGACGGATTAATTCCCTATATTGAGATCGTTAAGAGGACAATAGAAATGTCAATAAATCTGCTTCTGGCAATAGCAGAATTGGCAAAACGCCGACAGTTCAGTGTACTTGTAAATTATGTGACAAATCTAAATTGTAACCAGAGGGCTTATCACGAATATTCCAGAGAACTTTACACACAGAAGTAATTTGGTGTAACACCTATAAGTGTATACGTTCAAGTAACTTTCACGCAAACATTCGTGATAGACCTCTGATTAGCATGGATTAATATATCAGTAAGTTACTACGGCAACATTTTTTTTTAAATATCGTTATCTATTTTTTTTAAACCAATTATTTTTTGTAATATCTTCTGTAGGCAATCCTTGAAAAAAAATGATGTGAGGAAAAATATCAAAAAAAAATTAGCACCAATTTTTTTTCTCTTAGTTTGAATTTAACAGGTGACTATGTTATCAGTCATGAAAATACGAGTAATTAATATTAACGTAAATGTAAGAGAAAGGGGAAATAATATTGAAATTGATTTAATTCTTGCAACAAAAAGCACAAAAGCTACTGCACCAGTATTATAAAACCAAAAAATAACAGATGAAAAAAATATTCATATAAAGCGGTGAGATTTTTTCCTTTTTTTTTAAATGTATTTTTTGTTAATTTCGTATTACATTTTTTTATAATACCTATTACCTAGTATTAAAAAGCACTGAATATAATAAGAGCATATTGATTTACGTTATGTATTCCAGTTTGTATTTACAGAAATTTGATAATTGTAATAAAATTTATATTCGAAGATATGGGCTTAAATGCTCATAAAATTTTGTTGTCGTGCCAAATTTCTATGTAAGTATTCACATACGAATGTCTTATAAATGTATATAACTTTAATAACCTAGTTAGTAAATTGTCCTATAATGTGCAGTTACATAAACATACGTTATTTTGTATGAACATTGGGAGAATTTATGTCATTGCTTGTAAATTGTACATTTTCATTTTTCGGTAAAAACATTACAGTAAGCACGCTGACTGTAAATTCAATACGCGAACACCAGCACGCTGACTGTAAATTCAATACGCGAACACCAGCACGCTGACTGTAAATTCAATACGCGAACACTCCCAGCACGCTTACTGTAAATTCAATACGTGAACACTCCCAGCACGCTGACTGTAAATTCAATACGCGAACACTTCTAGCACGCTGACTGTAAATTCAATACGCGAACACTCCGGCACGCCGACTGTAAATTCAATTTTGTACTGATTTCTTTGCTATAAATATTTCTTTCTACAGTTTAAGAGACAAACCATATAATTTACAAGCATCTTTGACGAATCTCCCAATTTTCCATTAATCGTATTTAGTTTTGTGTATCGTCGTTTTAATTTATCAATTGTATTGTGTGCGTCCACCTTTTAAAGCGTATGGTCAATTTCTAGCACTATCAAATTGTTCTGTGATACATGTGTTTATAAGTTAATGATTACAAAAATTATAATTGTCATCTTAAACTAAAGAATATTAGAGAAGGAGAGACTCTTTACAAAGATTTGTTTTAACACGCTTTGTTAATGTACTGTCGCCTATGTTCGCGGTATTCTAGTTTCAGATAAAAATCTTTGCTATTCTTAAAATTAAGGGGCTACTTTATGCTTTTTGTTCAAGTAAGAAACAACACTAGGTTATCTGAACTGTACTCCTATCGATATTGGGATGTAACTTTAATATTTTAAAGCATACAATAGAGCAAATTATTGTCGCTGTAAAGTGGAATACTGCGAACGTAACTGTACTTTCGTTGACTCGAATAGGATTGTTTCGCTAAGCAAAATTCACCACAGATTTTTTTTTGTTGGCAAATTTAGATTTATATAGTTATAAGTCTCTCCGTCTCTAACTACAGTTTAAGTGTAATATAAAATTGTCATTGGATGTTTCGCTGTTAATTGTGGCGAATAAATGAATAAAAGAAATTATTTGTTTTATTTTATCTTAAAATAATAAGTTGAAAAAATGATCCTACAACAGGTTTTTGTTCTCCAAATAACTCTATCAATCCATCTCAGTCATCACTCCCTTCTTGATCATGTCACCTTCCACGCAATCCATCTATCTCTTTCTAGGTCTACCTCTAACGGTGTACCTACGCATTCGTAACTAAAATCCTTGTTACATGGGATTCATCCCTCCTCATAACCTGCCCATACCACGCTAACCTTTTTATTAAACAATCAGAATCAATTTGTAACATCGACAAAGGGCTCCCCTTGTGTTTTTTAACATAATTGAACAAGCATAAAATTACAAACCATCCAAATAATTTTATAATGCCTACAAACATGTTAGTTGCAATGTCGATGAAATTGCCCGATATTCTGCGGAGTTAAAGTATCGTCTTTCTAAATCCAGTTTCTAGTAAACAAAAGTTTCGATTACTTTGTTTCTTACCTATATTACTGTGTTAGTTATATTGCTTCCCTGGGCGTTGAAATCAAAGAGTTGTTTTTTTTTTAATTAAGTAGATATTTGCGTTAACATCACTTTTTAATTTTTTATTTATATCTAGATATATTATTTATTCGTAGACTTATGAAATGAAAATATTTAGACAATGAAAATTTGGAATTTACACACAATCAAATCCTTTCCAATCCTACTGAGAATTTAGAAAAAATGTCAAAATGTTTTCATTACAAAATATTAGGAGACCAGAAAATGTCGCTGAGCGAATCTCAAAAAGGAAAATAATATTGCATGAATTCCCATTATACTGAGTTCCGCAAATATTCAGAGCGGTACAATATTTGAGTCCCGTCGCACATGAGAACAGAGACGCGGGAACTTCACGGGCCAAGTGCTGCGAATAAGCGTCCTTTATTCCTGAACTCATATTACTTTATGCTCCCCTGGTACATTTAGCAGTTTGAGTGTTGTATTTACTGGTCTTTGTTTTTTTTATTTTAGTTTTAAAACCACTTACGTTATCAATGTTTGTTATTTTATTTAAAAGTACATAAAAAAAGTCTATTTTAAGCGATCGAATTTTGCAGACGAAAGTATTGAATGAGGTTATGATAAATAATAAATGAGTTGAGGCAAGTCGCACCACATAGAAGCTAACTTGGCACGTTTTCGATCCTATTTAAAATCATGAATTTTTAATAAATGGATCCTTCAAAGGTATACTTCGCACAATATTTAAAGGTGAATCTTCTGAATCCTTTTATAATTCAAGATATTTTCTCATTAAACTGTTAAAGACAGCTAAGACAGGTATTAGTTGAAAATAAAACAATTAAATCGATCTTTTAATTTATTCCATTTTATTTTTAACTTAGTTAGTTATAGTTTTTAGCCCAAAAGATAGTGAAGATCCAACAAATAGGGTTTGGTTTCCATTAATACTTTGAACCACAATTATAACAACTTATTTCACCCCTTTCTGTTCGTCATTATGATACAAATACTACTTAACATATCTTTATTCTCTTATTTTTATTATTAATATTTATTTTTAATTTTTTATATATTATAATTATTAATACAAAAAATACATATATCTAAAACCATATCGAGAAAACCACTGATTAAAATTTCAAACATAATTCCTTAACATTAGAACATAAATAGTATCAGATACATTTTTAGCTGAAAAACTGGGACATCTATTTTCTTTTAATTTTACTATGTGACGAAAAGGGTTACGTCTGTCACGATGTCACGAAAAGGGAGACCATATCTTAGATGGAGCGACGACATTGCCAAAATAGCGGGACACTGCTGGACCAGGCTAACGGACAGAAATACGTGGAACAATCTGGAGGAGGCTTTTACTGCGACAGTCAGCCCTTATACAGAAGATGAGTTAACAGACTAACAATATTAATATTTTTTTGCATGGAATTATTTAAGAACACTAACCGTACTAACAATTATATACATTTTTCTTTCTACGTTTTTCTTGTCAGATAATCATTTTGTATTTTTAGGGTGAGTTGCACCATATCGCCGGTTACCGTTAAAGTTAAAATTATTTGTAACGGTAATATTTGGAATAACCTTAAAATTTACTAAGGGTGAGTTACATTAACTAACTATAAACCTTAACCAGCACATTCACGATGGTTACGTCTACGGATGTTCATGATATTCGCTACACCAGTTTTGCGCTGGTCAAAATGACGTCATATATGACACTAATCATAACCGCCCGATTTTGGGCGGTTATAAT